AAAAAAAAAAAAAAACCAATTTATTTTACATAGTTTTATAAACAACTGAAATTAGAATATGCTGCTGCCTGTATATAAATGTCATTTGAAGGTTTTCCATATTTAAACTGTTCATATAACTACAGCTGATAAAAGATTTCTATTCAATATAGCAACTTTAACCACAGACAACAACGACACCAACAACAAAATACTTTTCTATAATATTATGGCAACATACATTTTAATCTTCTTATAATGATATCATACCGCAAAGTTGAAGAAGAAAAAAAAGGAAATAAAGAATTTAAAAAAAATTTTATCCTTATGTTTTCATTTACTGCAGAACAATTTATTGGCAATTAATAAAGTTATAGCAGTAAACAGAAATTGCAGAAGAAGAAAAATTACGTTAAAGTATTCACAATATTAGCCAATCTCTCAAGTTTCAAATTAATCCGGTTTATCCTGTTATTTCTGCAAAAGTAGCTTAATTTTTCATCCACCGTGTAACGTAATTTTTTTTTTTTTTTTTGTTTTCTTTTAAAATACATTTGACATACTAAAAATAAAATATTCAAAATTTATAATAGAAATAATTGTTGTTTAGCAGATCTGTTGCTGATAAAGGGTTAAAAATTGAATAACCAAAGAAATAGCACAGTTACAAAGCTGCACCGATACGTTCAATTTTACTGTACACTAATAGATAAAACAAATAAATAAGCAGAAATATAAACAATTCATTTATATTTTACTCACCTAAAGATAAATAAGAAACAAAAAATTTAGTTTTTTTTTTACTTGTTTTGAAAAGTATTGAATAAGATAAAAGTAGTTTCTTTTTTTTTTTTGTCGTTGTTCTTGTTATTATTGTTGAGGACAATCGCCTTGTTGCCCACATCTGTTCAAGTTTTTTTTCAACAGTCTTCAAAATTGATAGAAATTTGACCAACAAAAATTGCCAATTTATACATACGGCAACAAGATATAATATGTTTGTCAGTACTATATAGGTCTTTGGTGTTCCCCTCATACGTATAGAATGTTGAAAGTGATCTGTCCATTTGCAAGTGTTCTGCACAGATCTTTGAATTGAGATTAGATTTTGATAAAACAAACTTTAAAAATAATTACTTTAAAAGTAACAGAAACAATCGAATTAAAGCTGAATAAAAAAAACTTAAAAAATTCGACAAACATTCCAAGAAGGAAGTTTTGCAGAAGCATTGTATTTATCTTCTGAAAAAAAAAAAAGTAACTAGACAATTCAACTGTTATTCCTTTGATCAGTGATTTGGTTTTTACAGTGGCACTGTGTGAAGATCAGCAATTGATGCTTTCTGAGAGAAAAGGGCCCCACATCAAACATAATTGAATAAAGATTAGAATTTTCAGGAGCTATTAATTGGTTTTGCAAAAATTAATAATTAATTTCCGTCAAAATTACGCCAGCAGATTGCGAATGTCAAACCATTGAACCGTTCCTTAAATTGATCTGTAATGATATCTATAATTTTAAAAATTATATTACTGACTGATAGATAACAATAATATTGCTTATACTTAGACCAAAAATTCTTTGTAGAATCTCTTATCTAGAAAATTTCCAAATCTGATCTGCAGATATCGACCCCACATTACAGATACCAAGAAGTATTAGTTTGATTGTAATTGTGCAATAAATAAACTAATAAAAAGAATTTATTCGTGAAACAATAATGTTGATATTTACTATTAAATAATAGAAGTTTCAAGGCAAACAAAATTGTATCTTCCATTGGCCAGCAACATGAAGTGTTTCAGCGACGACACTCAGGTACTGCTTTTTTTTCAATACTGTCATTTAAGTGGCTTTCGTCTTTTCTTTTTTGTAATAAGAGGTCAATTTAGAAAAAAACCCTAAATTTAATGCAAAAATTGTAGTACTACACAGAAAAAGGAGGATAATAGCACCAACAGTAACAGCAGTATTCAGATTCCAATAGTATCTGAGTGTCGTAATAGCACCAACAGTAACAGCAGTATTCAGATTCCAATAGTAGCAGCAACAACAGCAATAGATGCAACAGGAAAACTGGACTTGTAATGTTCGGCTTCAAATAACAGAATGTTTAATAAAAAGCTGTATTTTTTTTTAAAATTTATCTGTAACCAAATAACTGTTAGGTCCATTTTATCGCATCAGATTACGATCATATTATTTTTAGAATAATAATAGGATTCTTTTTTCTTGTTCACCATTATAGCCTATAGATCCATCGATTCATCCATTTATTCATTCATTCATTGATCCAACAATAGATTACAATCTTATTTCCTTCTACAGATTTACAAAAAAAAAAAATGTCAAAGAAGTGTTGGAATTACGTGTTTTCCCTTCCTTTCCTTTTTTTTTGCCGAATTTCTTTCACATCAACGACGACAACGATCGCACAATGAGGGAGAAATATATCTATATGATTATATATAATTGGAATAGATTTAGAAAACATAATATTTTTTTTTCTTCAAAAATAAATTACACAGATTTGTTATATAACTATTTTTTTACAAAAAAAAAAAAATTTTTTTTCAGAAATTTTATCCTTTCTTCATTTTTTCTTTTGTGCTTTTTTTGTTTTCTCAGACTACAATTTCAGATATAAGTATAAAACAAAATCAAAAAAGTTTGCAACAAATATAAAAAAGAAAAACAAAAAAGGGGGAAATCTTTGATCTGTGAAAAAGTAACAGAAACGATAATAACATAACAGATTTTTTTTTTCTCTTTTATTTTCTTGTCAAAAAAAATTTTTTTTTTACCCGTAACAAAATAAATTCATCGATGAGGTGTTAACAATCAGTTTTTATAGTTGGTCATCTGAAGCATCAACGATAAGTGCAAAAAATGTTCAGTTGATTTAGCAGTTGTTTTCTGTTGAGTAAATTGATAAAATATTAAATGTAATAAATGTTTAAAGCAGATAAAAAAAAAATACACGCTAATTACTGTTCAAAAAAATAATTGGAATCATAACACAGTACAGATTGCCTCCATTTTGTCGATTGCTCAATTTGCGAGTTTTATAGCAGTAATTTATTGTATTCATTTTTCTTGTAGAAAATATTACAATATAATTATTTAAAAAT